TCACATTTAAAGTGATGGACCTTTTTTGCTTCTACCCAGTTTGCTCTTATTCTGACTCTAATCCACTTCTTGAACAATAAAATATTTCACTACTTCCTTGCAAACATGTCTTTTAATTCTGACCAATGTGTGATTAGATCTTATATTTTTAAAAAGAAGGTAGAAATAACAAAAAAAGATTTGGGGATATTTTTAAACTTAAGGACTCAAGGGATTAGAGCACATACTTTAACCTTTTCTTCCAACTATGACTGGACTGCGATAAATCAAGTTCTTAAAGGGATTAGAGGAGTAGGTCATATACCTAAGGTGGCCACTCTTAATCGAAATGCCCGAATCATCCAGCATGTTCTTCATACTTCCATTATTCTTAAAGCTGGTGATCAAGTAAATATTACACCTCTTCTTTCCATAGTGACATATCTGATTATCACTAGCCAACCAATAGATGAAGCCCAACTAATCATTGACTATATGTACGATCATTTTGAGATTGGTCATGTCTCTCACAAGAGAAAGAAGAATATAGCCTTAGGACATCTTGTGACCTATATTTTGGAAAAGAAGTATGAATTAGTTCATCATGTTCAAAATCTAGAGGAGCCTATCCTCTATAATGATGGATCATTCCGAACAATCTTTAATAGAGATCAACTTGTAGTAAGTAGTGACACTGAGGAGGAAAGGAGAAAACCTCCACCTGCTGGTGGACAAAACTTTCAGGATATGGTCCAGCGCTTTGATCGTCTTGAGAGTCATTTTGATCAACATTTTGATTAGATTAAAACTCTTATTTAAGAGCAGGACTATCAATATCAGTAGGATATGGGTTGGGTTAGAGGTCAAATTAAATCTATCAACATGAATATAGCTATGATGAATAGTTATTTTAATATTTTCAACCAACCACCTCCTCTAGATCAGGGCCCTTTAAAGTGATGATTATAATTCTTTTATGCTTCTCTCTACCTGTGATGACTTGATGTGATGAGATGTTGTGTTAATATTTTTTATATTTTTATGTGATGTAATGTGATGTGTTAATTTTCATGTTTTTATGTTATTGTGTTAAAAATATCTTTGTATTGATATCAACCATGCTCAATGTATTATCTTATACCCTTGATATCAATAAAATTTACCCTATCTTATTTTAGTATTTTTTATTTCTTTTTAGAAATGTGTGTTAGTCTATATGATCATCCTTAAAATATTGATCTAACAAGTGTTATATTTTAAATTGCAATAAAAATTTTAATTCATTAAAAATTTTAATTTTTTTTTCAAAAAATTTAAGTTATGTTATAACTTGATCTAGTTAAAAATGTCCATCTATGTCTCATGTTAGACTAACATAATTTTAATATTATTATTATTATTTTGATATTTTCTTATTTTTTATTTCTCTTTTCAATATAAATATCGTTGTACTTAGAGAAATTTGAGATTTTAGAATATTGATTTTGAAAAGATCAAGAAAATATTTAAAAATATACAAATATAAAAAAAATCAAAAGAATACGTAATAGTTCGTAATTTGAAAAAGAGACACAAAATAAACCCACAAGTATAAAAGATGCATAAAGTGTGCCACAAATATTAAAAAGATATGCAAAGCGCCACAAGTATATGTTCTTTCCTCAATCTTTTAATCTTTAAATTCAAATTAATCTTTTGTTAAATTTTATTTTGTATTAAAATTATTCAAAATATACAAATTTTACATTCATCTACTTTACAATGTTTTTTCTTATCTCATTATCTAAACTGATTCATGATTTTAATATTTTTTTCTTCTCTATGTTATATCTATACTTAAATCATACGAATCTTTCTATTTCTCTAATGATATTTTATTTTTATTTGTAAATATACCTCAATCTTTATAAAGGATCAATTATCAAAGGCTTTTCATATGACTTCTTACATTATTGTATTTGTTCGTTTCTTTTTCTCTTTTTGTTGTTATCAAAAAAGGAGGAGAAATATTATTTGACATTTGTGTGTTATTCATATTTTTTGTGGATTGTTCGTTGTCTTTGTGTTTTTGTCCTTTTTTTTGTTTATTTTTTATGTTTCAATATTTTTTTGTGTACAAAAATTTAAAATTAAAAAATATGATAAGTTCAACAATAATGCCCCTTATACTCACATGTTTATTCATTCATGGGGAGTTTAGGAGAAACTTAAGACTTTCAATTTTATACAAACAATAATTATTTTGTCATCATCAAAAAGGGGTAGTTTGTTGAAAGAGTTGCTACTTAGCTTTGCATGTTTTACATTCTTGCAACTGCTTTGCATGTTTTACATTCTTACAATTTGTATGTTTTGATGATTTCAAATATTATTGTTTTGATTATTATTTTCTCTTAACATATTTTGGAAAGAATTATTTTTGGCTCTTGTGTGTACTAACATTTCAGGAAAATCATACTCTAAATTATTGAAGACTTCAAATCAAGATCTGCTTATAATATTTTATAACTTAGAGTCTGTATTTTTCTTTTACTTGAGTTTGAGAGAGTGTGATTGCAATTAGGTAACTTAGCACACATACACCATGGGAGAGCTTTAAATTCACAATTTTAGTATACTGATCGTACATGACGAACCATGTTCGTACGAGACGATCAGGTCAGTTATACTCCTCGAAGAGCAATGGAATGAACATATGGTGCAAATTTTTTTTCTAAATCTTAATCGTCTAGATGAATTATCTTGTTCATCCCTGAACGATGTCCTCTGGAATCTCATTTTGAACTATTCGTCCAAACAAATTATCTTATTCGTCCCTAGATGATGTCCTTTAGAATCTCACTTTGAACTATTCATCCAGATGAATTATCTTGTTCGTCCCTGGACGATGTCCTCTGGAATCTCACTTTGAACTATTCGTCCAGACAGATTATCCTGTTCGTCCCAGGACAATGTCCTCTGGAATCTCACTTTGGACTATTCGTCCATACGAATTGACCCCTTCGTCCTAGGAGGATGTCCTCCATTCTTTGAACTTGTGATCCGTCCTGCATTTTCGTCCCAACGAACCATGATCTTACGATACGATGATCGAGTACGAAGGCAGTTCGTATAAATGCACATTGAGGTCGTACGCAATAGTTTTTACACTATTAATACGTATGAAATTCGATCGTACGGGATGATCATGAACGTACATAACTGAAATTTTACAATTTTTTAATAATTTTTCGTGTCTTTCTTATAAAAGGGTCACTTGAAACTGTCAAGCAATCTTTTTGTCTTTTGGTCTTCGTGCATATTGAAGGGAGATTAAAAGAGAGAGTGAGAGAGGGTGTTTGAAGGTGAGTTCTTACTACTGGTACTTGAAGGGCTCACTTGATTACTCAAAGATAAGGATCTTCATTTGTGAATTGTGATTACTGTACTCTTTTCTCTTATCCTTCTAGATTTCTTGTGATAAGATCTTTCAAGAATATCCGGTTCTCTGCCTACACTCGAGGAGTGTGAACAGCCGAAGGGTTCTCTGCCTATACTTGGAGAGTGTGAAAAGATTAAGTTTCTCTGCCTACACTTGGAGAGTGTGAACAGCCGAATGGTTATCTGCATATTCTTAGAGAGTGTGAAAGGATGAAGGTTCTCCGCCTAGACTTGGAGAGTGTGAACAACCGACGGTTATCTGCCAACACTTGGAGGGTGTAAAAGGACAAACATTCTCTGTAGCACCGGATAATGGTGGAAGAATGTTTTTGTGAAGGCTTCTCCGCCTTGCTGTGAGGACAAAAGGAGAGACACTTGTGGTAATAATGCAATACCTGAAGTGGGAAACTTTAAGGAGTTGATATAGGTCAGGTTTGACTGAACCACTATAAATCTTGTGTCTTTTATTTTTTGCTACTTTTTACTTTACTGTTTTTGTTATTCGTGATTGAAAAATCATTTTTAAAATTTCACTAAAACTTTAATATGCTTAAAAGAGGAAGAATTTTTTAAATTATCAATTCACCCCCCTCTTTTTAATTTTTTTTTTTTATTATTATTATTATTTTTTTTTTGTTTTTTTTTTTTTATTAGCCTTTTGGGACATAAGCTTAGATCTAACAACATAATTCATAATTAACAAGTTTCAATAGATTCCACATAGATGTCAAACATAGGAGACTAGTTGATAAGTTTCCTGTAGTAGTTATAGACATAATAAAACCTACAACCAATTACTCAACAATAATCAAGATTATTCGCCAAATTAATCTAAATATGCCGAGGGTCCAATAGTGTAGCAGAGAATTCCCTTGTAAGCTTTAATTTAAAGAAAATTTTTTGAATCAGATCTAACTTCCATCTACATATAGTGAACATTCCCACCTACACAAATTCAAACGGGGCGGCCAAAGCTTCGAATTCCTCCTCGGATATCGAGAGAGTCTTCATACCATAGTCGGTAGTTACTCTAAGTTTCAAAAAAAACAAAGAAGGGAAAGCGCCAGAAAAAACATCTTTAAAAGAACGAGAATTTTTTTCCAGCAAGAAATTCAAGGTTAGTAATAATATTGTGATTACCATCCATAATCTTATAAGTCAAGGAAGACAAAAAAAACAATAGAAATAACAATTTTTCTCCTTCTTGTTCGTTTTAAAATTCTTTTGATGCGCTGAATGCTAAAACAACTGTCATTAACATGCTGACCTAAATGTACTAGTATTTGCAAAACATTGGGACCATCATCTAGGAAGATAAATCACTAGAAAATATATCAATCCATTTCTCATGACGCGCTTCAGTTGGAAGAGACTGTTTACATATTACTAAAAAAATTTCGAAATTTTGATCACATGAACTATTCAGGCAAGTTAACCAACAAGCTAGTCCAGAACTGCATCAGCAAGTAACTCTAGAGATACAAGTTCGATTTTAAGAGGAAAATAAAAGACACTTGGTACTGAAAACAATACATGAAAGTTTGCGTTCTCTCACATTTTTCATGTACATAGCAATTCCACGTATAAAATACAACTGGATATCAGGCACTCATACATTTCCAAAATTAAATGTGGCTTGAACTATCAATCAGATGGGAATAATTGAAAAATTGAAGCCGAGAAAGATGTATTGTAGTCTCATATGATTATAAAACATTGTCTTCTATTTCAGGCCCTCCTGTTTAAGAAGCTTTATAGATATGTTTACATATAAATGACCTTGAGAACACCAAATAGAATAGAAATCTTATACAGACATGGCCAAAATTAACACAAAGTTTGTTAGGACTATACGAGGCAATGAGTGGTCTAGTTATTCATGCAAGCCAGCCAGGTGGCATGTAATTATTGACATTTGGAGCAGCCATTGGTGCAATCGATAAATCAGAATGGTACCTGCTTACATAAATATCACTATTTTAGGTATGAAAGCTTATATCTCAGTTGTTTATTAATCATTCGAAGGTATAATGAAGTAAAAAAGCAATACTAATAGTTTTTGCCAAGAAGTATCGTACGAAGTTTTTGATATTAAACCAATGAATTTTTATACGAAACTTCACTGAAATCAAAGTTTATAGTATGTTAAGGGTTGTTGTTTTGAGACCTTTTTCTTGACATATAATATTGATAGAAAATCACGCCCACTTGTTCAGAAAACATGCAGTTCTGCGTGATCCGAATATTTAGCTGTGTTGTTTCTGGTAGACGCTGAACAATAAACCTTAAAAAAGAGTTAAATTATGAAGCTAAATGTAAGTATTTTATCAAAATCCCAAAGGAATTATTGGTATTTAGCTTTAACACGAAAATCTTGAACCAGAAGAGCGACATATCAATAAGGTGCGTGAACAGAAAAGACAAGCAGAGGGTTTCTATGATTCCTTTAAGCCATGATTGGAACTCAACCAGGATTGTCTCGCTTCTAGCTCCCATGCTTGGAGAATTGGTGAAAGCTAATCTATTCTATCCTTCCTCTGGCTTTCTTTGAGAATGTTCCTCTACAATTTGGTGATACCATCTTCATCATACTTGTTAGTATTGTCAGAAAAAGGATTTAATACATCCTCTTCTATTTTTTTATCCTTCATGCTTGATTGTGATTTATTTATCTCCATAATGGATGTAGGTCAGTCTTACCAGATCATATAATTCCTGACGCTCTTATCTGTTAGTTTGCTTTATTATTCTTTAACATCTTTCTGTAAGGTGGAAACATTTGTTTCACCTTGGTTAATTCCATTGCCCTTTTTTATTGCTTGTAAAAAGAGGAGATTTATGCCATTACCTTTTAAAAAATAGTTTCATAAGAGCTTGATTATTCCGAAGAGATGACATCATCCATTATATTGAAGCCTTCCGTCTACCCTATCAAAAATTAGTTTATTTAAGGTGAAAAATAATTTAAAATTTTCTAAAATGACGATAAACCTATCTTCGCTTAAGGCTTCAAAGTGAAAGAATTCCCCGACTGGTATAGATGAGAAGGGGATGGATCAAAAAACCAACTCTTCTATTATTCTCAGCTTGGTAAAAAGGCTCATAGACATGCAACATATTAGAGTAATAAACCGGATATATGAAAAATGTAAAAATCTCTCTATATGGTAAAATCAATTAACAACATCACTATTTTGAAATAAATAAAATAGAAGTTAACTGCATTTGGCATGATGCAGGATTTGTTACTTCAAGAGCTTCTGGGTGTCTTCAATAAGATTATTTTTAGATCTGGCAAATCTTCATGTGAAAATCGAAAAGAAAGATGAAGCTTTCATTGTTATATGCTCTTTTTCAATTTACAAATGTGAACATTGTTACCAGTTAGCTCTACGGGAAAGACACTATTTACATGACTGAGGAGACTAGCACTCATCATTTGATAGAATTAAGAAACAAAGCTTAGTGTGCAGGCCTAATTGAGATCATATGTAAGGTTTATTGTCAGGAATTTTTTTTAAATCCTGAATACTTGTAATATAGTCACACTTCGTAGGTTTCCTTAGTTCGCTACAACTTCCTCATCAGCTTCTTGTTAGGGACGTCACCGACCCTCCCTCCCTCATGAAAATCTTTCAGTTAACCACCTTCGTTACCAAAACCTCTTAGTGTTAGCGTCCTCCCTATCCCAACAGCTTGTGATGATTGTTTTATTTTGTAAACCATTCTTGTTATCGAACTGTTAATTTTATCTCTAGAACTCTGCATGACTAATTTTTGCACTCCCAACTCTTTCAATTTTATCGCTAAATCCTTCTGTCTTGATAGTTGCTACTCTTCTACCAACCATTTTTTAAACTCAGCCAATATCTCCGATCACCTCCAACTTGTATCTTTGTACTCTTACACCATCTCCATTTCTGGTATATATATATATATATATAGAAAATAAACTAGAAAATTGCAACTACTTCTGAACAAGTTAAACTGCTTGTGATAGATTAAGTTGGGTCAAAATGGTTAGGAGAGAGCAATTATGTTATTATTATTGATGATTTCTATAAACATAAGTTTTTTTTTAACAAATAAGAACGATGTATTTAAATATTTAAAAAACATTATCTTACATATTAAAGAAGGAAATTTAATTTTAGGATTCAAATAACACAACAACAACAACAACAACAACATCAAGCCTTTATCCCACTACATGGGGTCAGCTACATGAATCCTTTTTCTCCATTGTGTCCTATTAAAAGTCAAATTCTCGTTTAAATCTAATAAAGAAAGGTCATTCCTAATATTTTCTAACCAAGTCTTGTTAGGTCTACCCCTACCATTTTTAACACAAGTCAAATTTAATACCTCTACTCTCATAACCGGGTCATCGGAAGGCCTCCTTTTTATGTGACCAAACCATCTAAGGCGACTCTCTCTAATCTTATCTTCTACTAGAGCTACTCCAACCTTTTCACATATATTCTCATTTCGTATCCTATCTCTAAGGGTAAAGCCACTCATCCACCTGAGCATCCTCATCTCTGCCACACTTAACTTATTATTATGCTTCTCTTTTAATGGCCAACATTCGGCACCATAAAGCATTGCAGGCCTCACTACCATCTTATAGAATTTTTCCTTAAGTTTGAGGGGTACATTTCTATCACATAACAAGCCCGATGCATTCCTCCACTTCAACCATCCAACTTGAATTCTGCTGATAATATCCCCATCTATTTCACCATCACTCTGAACAATAGATCCAAGATATCTAAAACGTGTACTCTTATTAATGACTTGATCGCCCAAAGTAACAATCCCCTCACTAGGTCTATTACTACTAAAATTACACTCCATATATTCCGTTTTAGATCTACTCAAGTGAAAACCTTTAGACTCTAAGGTTGACCTCCATAATTCAAGTTTACCTTCAACTCCCTCTCTAGTCTTATCAACAAGAAGAATATCATCAGCAAAAAGCATACACCAAGGTACATCATCTTGCAAATGTATAGTGAGAACATCCATGACTAAAGCAAAAAGATATGGGCTTAAGGATGATCCATGATGTAACCCAACCGAAATAAGGAAATAGTTGGTCAAACCTCCTTGTGTTTGAACACAAGTAATAGCTCCTGCATACATATCTTTAATGATTTGAATATAAGCATTATTGACTCCTTTCTTTTCAAGAACTCTCCATAGCACTTCTATTGGAACTTTATCATATGCTTTTTCTAAATCAATAAATATCATATGTAGATCATCCTTATTTTCTCTATATTTCTCCATCAAACCTCTTAATAAATGTATGGCTTCCATAGTCGACCTACCCGGCATAAATCCAAATTGATTTTGAGAAACATTAGTATCACGCCGCAACCTATGCTCCATAACTCGCTCCCATAGTTTTAAAGTATGACACATTAACTTAATACTCTATAATTCGAACAATCTTGTGCATCACCTTTATTCTTAAAAATAGGAATTAACACACTCATTCTCCACATGCCAATCTTGCATCTTTTAGTCTTAGGATCAAATAACACATAAAGGATAATTTAGAATAACTATTTTATATGAATATTATAATAAAACTAGAATTTATTTTCCTTTTTCATCAGCTAGAACTCCCCAATAAACAGAGTTATATAATAGATCAATTAGAATTATAACATCATTCTTTAAAGACAAAAAAAGTCATCCCAGGTAAATCGAGCTCTACTAGGGTTTTGCGATAGGCTACTCGTGACCACCATCATATTCTCCTTCCAGATTGCCTCTCAGGAAAGTCCCTTAACATTATTTTGCCCTTGTTCTATGTTTTACTTATTGCCTTCGGTCTCCCCTTTTATTTTTTTTTCTTTCACGCGCGTGTGTTGTGTGTGTGTGGGGGGGGGGGAGGGGGTGATGGTTCCACCGGTAAGGTAAATAACCCTTTTCTTCGTTAGTTAAGCAATTGATTGATTAAGGAAAATATATGTAAGGATTGTAATGTATAGTTGGTACTAATGTGTTATATAATAAAATAAATCAATAGAATAAATTTGTATTAATGATTAATCATAGTAGAGAAAAATATATAGATATCTAGAATCACTTCATAAAAGATCACACTTCAAATAGAGATGTTGAAATTCAATTTATTGGCATAAAAAACAAGCTAATGGATTTATTCATAAAGCCATTGGTTTAAGATTCATTTTGAAAATTAAAAGCTCAATTTGATGTAATTAAATTAAAAACATATTTAATTTAATTTATGTCATTAATTTTATGAAGGGATGCAAGAATTTAATTAAGCGGATTATTTTAATGAATCTACAAAAATTACATAAAAAATACATGAGTTCAACACAATCAAAGATTTGGAATCAAATTTCTAACTCAACACAATGTACTATTCTATATTGGACTATATGATTTGTTTGTAGCTAAGGTAATAAACAATATAGACATTCGAATAAAATTATAAAGAGTTTGTTGCTATTTTCTTGGATTCTTACAAGGCAAAAGATCTTATAAATATCAACCATTGTCCTTATTTCATTTACTATTAGTCTATTCTAAACCTATTTTTAGTTAAGAAAGTTTTTGTAATTTTTAAATGGGGAGCAAAATATCAAGAGGAGCAAGCTCTTCACCTATTCCATAGCAAGAATATAAATTTTGTGTAGTGGAAGATGAAGAAAAGATAATAAAAAAGCAATCATCCAACATGAAATTGAAATCAGTATTATAAGAACATCTCTCCTACATGATCTATGATTTATTTTTTAGAATGACCCTCCAATTATGCATTTCATTTTAACATCCTTTTTATCATTATATTGAATCAAATCATATTTTTTATGTTCTTCAGCTATGTTATGGTTTTTCCTAGGCGGATAGCTTCCTCCTCTTCCCCTGCCTCCTTTTTCTACATGGATTATTTGTTGCTCTTGCTTCTACTAGAA